TTCAGACACAATAAAACAGTAAAGACATTTACAGGGTTTTTAATTTTTTTTTCAGGTTTTTATTCATTTTTTGAGAGACAGGGTGTGAGCAGGGGAGGGGGAGGGGCAGAGAGAGAGAGGGAGACACAGAATCGGAAGCAGGCTTGAGGCTCTGAGCTGTCAGCACAGAGCCTGATGGGGCTCAAACCTATGAACCGTGAGATCATGGCCTGAGCTGAGGTCAAATGTTCACTCGACTGAGCCCGCCAGGTGCCCCTCAAACATTCTGTCTTCAGGGACACAACAGAAGAACAAAGACATTTCTACCACGTTTCCAGGACTTAAGGCGCATTCCCAGCCACCTCGCACTAGTTAGAACAGAACCATTGTGCACAGACGTGTCCGACGCACACAGCGCCCCTCGGTCTTCCATCTTACTGAGGAGTCTGATCGGCCCCTAAGTAGCCAAGCCAGGCCCGGCCACATCAGCCCCAGAAACGCGTCTGTCTCCTCTAGTGCAGAGTGGGGACGAGACTTCCTCACGGGATGTGCTGTGACAATAGGTCAGGTAGCCTGGAAGACGCCCACAGCCGCCGCAGGGAGTGGCCCACAAACGGTGGTGGCTCTCGCCCTCGCTGAGGCCACTCCCCGTCGCCTGTATAGCGGCCAGCACGCTCACCACCCCGTATCAGCATGGCCATCACCTTCCTCACCACAGCCACCATCACCGTGACCGTCATCACCACCCCCGCAGTCTGATCCAAATGAATCCGGAGGCGCCTTCCTCGAGGGTGAGCCGAGGATATGGACCCTGGGGGATGAGCAGGGACTTGCTAATGAGAAAAGGGCAAAATGCACAGGCGTTTAGGGTGTCCGAGAAACGGTCAACAGCTCTTCGTCGGGAGAGGAGGCTGAAGACAAGATCTGAGGTCAGATAACGAAAGGCCCGTCGTCAAGGAACTCCTGAGTCTTCTTCAAGCACTAGCCCCCCCCCACAGTGTCCCCTGGAGCCCCAGCCCTGCTTCGGGCAGAGCAGCCCCTCCCGGGACTTGCACCCCGAGCTGTGCTGTGGGCGCCGGGGAGAGAGTAAGGCAGGGCCGAACTCCGGAACGACAACCGTGGGGACAGCAGGAAGACCCGTGCGAGAGGCGAGTGAGGAGGCTCCGGAACATTCTGAGAGCAGCTGAGAGATGAATGAGAGCAGAGGAGGAGGGAAGGAGGGAGAAACAGGAGGAGGGGACTGGCAAGACGATCCGGGGTGGGGAGCTGGGGTGCAGACAAGCCCCACGGAGACTCGGCCTCGGAGGAGAGAGGGTCACGAGACTCGCCTCTCCTGAGCCCTCACCGCGCACGGCCTCACCTCACACTTCAGGCTCCACGACCTGTGTGGCTTCCGCCTCCCGGGAGCCTAAGTGGAAGCGTAATGATGGCCAATACCTCGCTCAAGGTCACAACACTTAACACCGACGGCTGCCGCGCCCCAGGCTGCTACACGGCTGCTCTCGGGGTGATGCACAGCTTTTGGGGGGCAGCTCGTTCACAATTCCACAGAACAGCCCCCCCCAAGCACCGCATCGTCCATCGGCCCAGGGATCACAAAGGTCTCCCCCAGTGGGTGGATGGATGGAGGAGAGAGCAGGGACGGGGGGGTCTGGGACCCGATAGAGGACGTCCCAAACCCAAAACCAAATCTTGCCGATCAAACCCCTCTCTCCTCCCTCGGACAGCACACGCGGGGTGAACGCTGAGCCAGGGTGTGTCATGCACAAATGCACTTTGGCTCAGCCATCGAGGGACTTTGTGCACTTAGTGGGGGCAGGGCAGGGAGAGTGCCCACCAGCCAAGTGACCTCAAGGCCAGGGCCGCACACACGCCGAATCCTCCCACCAGGGCGACGACTGAATCCTGGTCTCTGGGAGCCTGGGCAAAAGGGAAAACTTGGAGTCAAGAGACCTGGGTGGGGATCTGAGCACCGCCATCTGGGAGGCGGGTGACTTGGGAAAGTCCATGACATCTCAGAGCCTCAGTTTGTTCATCTGTAAAATACGGGTAAGAGTGCATCCTGGGGTCACGCAGATGCTTCTGGAATCTGGGACTGCCCCTCGGTCGCTGTGGACCTTGGGCAAGAGTCACTTATGTTTCCTCATCGAAAGTAGGGAGAATCACATGGTGATGCTTCTTAGAGACAATAGAGACAACCAACCACACCCTCCTGGGAGCCGCCACCGTCACCATGAGGCTGTCCCAGAGCATCTGGGACAACTGGGCGCAGATGCTGACAGAGCACGTGCTCTCCTGTCTCCGTCTCCCTCCTGGAGGCTGAGTCTTGTCTACATCTTCATGCTCACCTCTGCCACGTGGCAGGCGCCCAGTGAACTGGCAGCAGTGGATGGGTGGATAGATGGACGATGGATGGATGGATGGATGGATGGATGGATGGATGGATGGATGGATGGGTTGGTGGACGGATGGGTGGGTGGGTGGATGGATGGGTTGGTGGGCAGATGGATGGGTGGGTGGATGGACCGATGGATGGACGAGTGGATGGATGGACGGATGGGTGGGTGGACAGATGGGTGGATGGATGGAGGGGAGGCAGGGTCAAAGGTCATACAAACGCCCACAGGGGTGAACAAGGCTACTGGGGATGATGGTGACGACGGCCACCCCTCCTCCGCAGGCGGGTCCTGAGCCTCGGTCGGAGCGCTACGGTGCAAGCGCGTAGTTACTGAACAACAAATGTTTACTGGAGATCAGGTGAAAAAGTTACCTGAAGAAGAGCTCAACACGCTTGCAGCCTCAGGGGAAAGGGGTTCCCTCCCAACCCGGGCAGGCATGTCCCCTGCCGGTCAGGCCAGGCTGTCTAGTTCCCGCCAGGTGCCCAGTGCAGCCGGGCCAGGTGATGCTCGGGGAGGGGGAGGGGCGGGCCCAGCCCTGCCTCATGCAGCCGCACCCCTCCCCACCTCAGCCCCCCACCAGTAACTGCAGAGCCGAAGAGGACAGGGACGGGGACCGGGGGCACAAAGTAGGGCCCAGAGTGTTGGGGGGTCAGGGACACGCTGCCTGAAGGACAGACAGGTCAAACCCGCCCCTGCAGGTGAGCGGATTTGGGAGCTGGGGAGCACACAGGTGCCCGGGCACCAGGAGCAGGCGGGGACACTTTCTGCAGGACAGAGACCTTGCAGGGGTGAGACGTGGACCCAGATCTGGGGGCTCCAGAGGCCACTCTCACCCAGCCCCTCCCCGCTGCCACTCGTCCTAGGGGTGAAGGGAAGGGAGCGTGCAGAGGGGCCACCTGAGCAGGGCCGGTGTGGTGGCCAGCCACGCCATGGCAGGATGACACCGCTGCCGCCTGTCCCGTGCGCTCAGGGACCTTCGGCTGGCACGTCCGGCCACGTGGCCCGCTTTGGCCACAAGAATGGGGGCAAGAGTGACA